CATCGGGGCGCCGGCCGAGCGCGGGCCGCGGGGGACGCCCGGCAGAGCCGGGAGGACGGGGCCAGGAAGTTCCGTACCGCCATAGAGCCACTCCTCCTCCTCGTCGCCGCCGGTCCCGCCGCTCAGCTCCGACACCAGGCGCTCCACCTCGCCGGCCGACATGGCCGCCCCACGCAGTCCACAGGCGGAGATCAACAGCCCCTGCCGACCTCCTCCCCGGGCTCGCTGGCCCGGGGCGCGAGAAGGGCGCGGGCGCGAGGAGGGCACGCGCCCGCCGGTGAGCCGCGGAAGGAGCGCGGGGCTCCAACCCAAGCAGAGCAGCGGCGGACTGGGCACAGAGGAAGACTCCGGCACGGGGCCGCCTGCGCACGCGCAGCAGCAGTCGCCGGCGAGGCGCAGAGGCTCTAGGTGGCTTCGCTTCCGCCACGGCGGTCACCTGGGGCCGCTGTGCGCATGCGTAGCGGTTGGCCCCGCCCCTATGAATCCGGCTGGTTGTTTGGCTGGGTTTTCCCTCCGGCGTCCTGCGTCTGTTCCCCTCCCCCAGTCTTCCCTCCAACAGGCCCTGTCTCCGTTGCTACTGCATTGTTCCCATGTGTCCTTGATGGTACTTCCCGCTTTGCACCTCTTCTTTACAGATCTTCCTAAAGGCCCTGTTTCACTCTTCACGTGTATACTTGCTACAGACTCATCTGTTCTTGGGAATTTGGAAATTATAGACAAAGCATAGTTGCTATCTTTAAAGAGTTCTCAATTTATTGAGAAAGACGGAAGGGCAGTAACTAACTCTCCCGCAAGGAAAATGTAGATGTGCTGTAACTACAGCGCCAAGCGTTACACGCTAGCAGACCGCCCCGTCTCAAGTGATGTAAGCCGTCTGTTTTACTTCCCCTTGCTTTTGAACCCACCTTTTCCTACCGTTCCCAGCTGCTTTGTATGTTAAGAATAAGCCTTTGCATTCTTCTAAATCCTGTTGAAGTATAGTCACCTTGGTAAAATCTATCCTGAATCCCACTTCATCTTTTCCCATTTATTCATTAATTCAATAAATATGGAAATTCTACCAAATGTCTTTAAGGCTACATAGATTCTACAGTGAGTTTTTCAAAAGTCTGTGAAGATTTCAGTCTAATGGAGATTCAAACTACAAACATAAATAGGGAATATATCATGTTGATAAGGATTATGAAGAAAAGCTGTGAGGGGGCCGAGAACAAAGTGACAAAGAGGGCAAAGTATAATTTTATACCCAATGATCAGAGAAAGCCACTCCAATAAAATGATACAAGCATAGAGGCCTAACTAGCGAGAAGAACTATCAGTGGGGTTAGGAGGTGCAAAGGCTCTGAGGTAGAAATGCTTGACGTGTGCAAGAGAACCAAATGTTGCTGGAGTAGAGGGAGGGACAGAAAGTTGATACAGTGGATAGTATGGGGGAGCGGTGAGTGGGGCAGAGCTCCTTTTAGAACTTTTGCATTTATGACATATCACACTGTATAGTGATTATCTAAATATATATATATTAGATTCACTCTATCAAATCTTCCCTCAAATAGGACATCTTGTTTATCTGTACTTTCCATTCCTGATGGGGTACATAACACCGAGGAGGTCTTACTCTTTGGTAAAAGAAATGAAGGTTTTGCTTACAGGTTGGGACTATCATAAAGCAATCCCTCACGGTCTCACCTGTTTATCTGTTTATTATTGCAAGAATTTATAATGAACTTTGGTGGTTTTGTGAAACAGGCTTTTTTTGCTGCGGGGCTTCTTTCTCTTTCAAGCTGCCATCAAGGTCCTTGCCTTTCTATGTATTGCCTAAACCGGACCTAAGAACCATTGAAAAATAATTGGTGCAGCAGAGTCATCTTTATCATGGAGGTAGCATTTGAGTTAAGTTTCTATAAGTAGAGAAGCCCGTAAGTCGCTAATAACCACTGTTAAAAGCTTTGTTCTTCCTTGTTCCCAAACCTAGTTCCTTGCCTGAATGTGCTTCCTTAGTTAATGCTGTCTTTATTTCCCTATGCATGAGAGAAAATTTCGAGGAGAGGTAGTTTGAAGATATTATATACATCTTCTACTTCAAGCGTTATGACCAGATCAAACTGTAATACTACATACATTTTGATTATATGTTTTCCATTTTTATTCATTTTTGTGGTCTGTCATTAGCAAAATAATAATAATCTGTTTTAATTTATCTATCTCTGTAGTACAGAAAGGAGTGCTTAGTTAAAATGATTAAATGGGGGGCTGGGGATTTAGCTCAGCGGCAAAGCGCCTGTCTGGCAAGCGCAAGGTCGTAAGTTCGGTTCCCGGTACCAGAGAAAAACCAAAACAAAAAAAAAAAACAAAAACAAAAAAAATGATTAAATGATCGTTAAAATAATGAGTTGATCATATAAGGAAGTGCCTTTCTGAGTTTCTAGTACATAACATGTAAGTACTCTTAGATGTCTTTTGCATGGATATGGCATTAGACCCAATTGTGCTATTTTCTATTAACTTCAATCTCAATATTCTTTAGTTGCCACATTAGTAAATTGACATATTAAGGTAATGGTATATAGCAATTTCTTGGAAGATTATCAAAGCTAAAATGAGATTTGAAATGTTAAAGTATTTGACCAGTTAGAGGCCAGAAAGTATTGTGTTTTGGGTTAGGCCTTTTCCCTTTTGAACAACTAGAACAATATCACATATGTAGAGCATTCTTTCCTCCTTGTACCTCACAGAGAAATCGAGTCATCTCCCTTTGCATTTTAACATTAAATTTATATTACTAGTTTTTTCTAGACAATTGCATCATCTCCTATGTACATCTGTACTATTATGTAAACTTTGCGTGCCCTTTTAAGGATAAGAACTTGACAGGGCTCAGTAAATCCTTAAGCTCAGCACTGATCACTATTACAAAGTACCTCAAAATAAAATAAAGCAAAATAATGCTTTTCTTAAAATGAGGAATGGAAAATAATCCCTATTTTCTGTACAAAAGCATAAATCCTGTTTTATCGTTTTGTTTGCTTGTTTGTTGGTACTGGGAATTGAACTCAGAACCTTGTGCTTGCCAGGCAGGTATAAATCCCATCTTAATAAGATAGATGTGATCATCTTTAGCAGGTCATTTTAGAAGAAATTCATTGTACTATAGCATGAGATCTGAAGGGGCCTCTTCCTTGGATTCTGTTTTAATTTCTGTCTAGCCTATGTCCAAAGACATTTCATCCATTTTCAGTACTTTTAATACCATCTGTGTAATTGGGGATCCAACAACTAAATTTCTACCTACAGTCTTAACTTCTCCTTGTGCTTAGGACATTGCATCACTCTGATGATTCACCAGATGACTCTTAGATATTTTGTAGGCATTTCAAATTTGTGTCCAAAACAAACTTGTAAATTCTTCTCTCAAATCTTTGTTGTCCCACTCCTGTGCCCCTAGGCCTCCACATTTTGGTATAAATACCAATGATCCGACTAACAGTTTCAGCCCCTACAAATAATTGTTCTTGTTTCTTCTTTTTCTTTCATCTGTTCCTGTGACATCTATACAAATCTATTAGCAAAGCCTTTTAGTTCTTCGTATAACATATACATCCCAAATCTATACCTCTCTATCTTTACTGAAATTCAAGTAACAAAGTCCTGTAATGATACCTTACTCTTATATGTAAAATGAAATCCAAGCTCCCTGTCATGTGGCCTATGAACTCTTTCATGCACTGATAACTTGTAAAATTGTGTGTGGTTCTATAGTTGTGGTGCCCAGCTTTTAGAAGTCTTCCATATCACGTCATTGTTCGTCACTTTTTGCCAGCTGTTTTAATGTCATTCCCTCGCATCTCTGCTGCAGGCTATATGAAGCCTCCCTTCCCCAACCATTCCTGTGTTGAAGCTCTGATCCCCAATATGACGGTGTTTGAAGCTATAGCAGTAATTTGGTCCTCCATAATGGGAAGGGATTAGTGTCCTCATAAGAAGAGGCAGGTGAGCTTTCGTGCTTTTTTTTCTTTTCTCTGCAAAGGTGAGGACATAGCTCAAAGATAACCATCATTTGTAAACGAGGAAGACACTCCTTATCAAAGCTATTCCATCCTAGTACCTTGATCTTGGACTTTCCAACTGTTATAGTTGTTGTTGTCTAAAACGTCCTCCAAGAGGCTCATAGTGTTGATACCTTGGTTTCCAGCTAGTGGGCTTTTAAAGTGATTGAGTCACAAGGGCTCTAATTTCATTAGTGGATCAATCCATTGATGTGATCATAATTTGATGGCATTATTGGGAGGTAATAGAAAAAGGAGGTGGGGCTTAGTGGAAGGAGTGGAACATAAGGGTGTGATGCTGGGGACTACATCCTTGGCCACTTTTTCTCTGGTGCTTTCCAATGTTTTCTGGCTGCCGTGAGGTGAGCAAATTTCCCCCAACATACCCTTCTAATCTGATGTTTCTGCTTCCCACAGATCTAAGGCACTGGAGCCAGCTAACCATGGACTGAAATCTCTAAAATCCTGAACCAAAACAAATCTTTCCTCCCTTATTTGATTTTATCAGGTATTTGATCACAGCAACAGAAAGCTGACTAACACAGCAGGCATCAGAAGTATAAGAAATAAAACTTGTGTTGTTTAAATCTAGTATGTAGTACTTTTTCTTATAAAAATCTGAATTATGACAATCTCTGTACTTTCTTCTTTATTGCTCTTGCAAACCTGACTACCTTTGTTTTATTTTGTGTACACATCCAACTCAATATTTTAGCAGAAAAGGACTGTGATAGTTAAGTGGTAGAGCACAAGCTTAATGTATGTAAGAGCCTGTTTTCAATTCTTGGAAAATAAAAAGAAAGAAAAAAACAAGCAGAAAGATGTATCTTAAACTGAAATCCAATCTGTTTCCAAGGACAGCATTTCCTATCTTTCTATACTACAGAGCCACCATTATCTTTCAGCTTGTACCAGGGAGATTGTACGCCATTTCCCTGGCTCTTGTAGGCCACTTCCAGATGAATATAGTATCGCTTTTCTGTGAAAATACTCTTTTCCTCCAGTTCATACCACCTACATTAACCAGCTGTACACTTCCATCTTCATTTTCCTTCATTCAAAGATAACATGGAAGTACAATCCACAATCTTTCTTTTTCTCTAATACTGGGCACAATAGTGAACAACTCACATCTCCTTCTTTATCTCATATTTTTTGACTTTCTGGAGTCTAACTAGGTAACACTCTTCATTATTCACTCCATCTCAGCAGCCTACACTTGGGTCATCGTTTGCTCCATCTCAGAAGTCTACGTTTGGGACTATGCCCATATCGTATTAAATCTGAGACTGTCCTCTCCCATCTGTAGTTCTAGAGAACACGCTCTACTGTTTCATGTGTTTATTCAGGCTGCACTCTTTTCCTGGACTGCCAGGAATACTCCTCCCCATCCTGTGCACCTGGCAAACACCTGACCTTCTTTGAAGGCAACTCAAAACCACAGTACTGTACTTTGTGAAACTGCTTCTGATTATTTCCCCTTTTCTGTCAGATGTTATTTTTCTCCCTTTATAACTCTTACGTATTTTTAAATTGTTACTTCTGTGACATTTTCTTGCATTTGTTTTACATGTATTGGTCTTTTTATTTTATTATATTTCTTTTG